AGCAGACGACGTTTTTGTACTTGTCATTAGTGCCAAAGTCTGTAGTGTGCCGTTTGACCAATGGCAAATGGGCTCTATGGGACCGCTGGTAATCTGATAATCTAGTAATCTTAGTTTCAGCTTCATAGCTAATGGGTCACCCCATAGTTGCTCCGCTCCTGTGCCAACGAAAAACACACAGAATGTTTATCACAGTCCCTTGTGGAAAGATTGACAGACTGCTGTCTCGGCATATGCACACGCATTAAAAGCATACGGTAGCCATCCGAAGTGCTAACACAAACAGTCCGACATTAGAAATGCAGTTGACCATGGATGGTAGCAGAAGTCACCAACAGATCAGCAGTTGCACACGCGATCAATTTTAATCAACTGTAAGCTTGCCGCTCGGTCGTTCAGGTATGCAGACTGACTGACTTCTTTTAATTATGCTCACCCGCTTGTCCCTATCCAAACAACATCCGACTTCTTATCTCACAGTACCTTCGTGGGCAAAAATCGAGAGGTTACTTCTACTGACAATTCGTCTTGTCTTAATCCTATCCGAACCACATCGGGTAATACGGGCCTCAGACAGGGTTAATGACTTTTCAAGTGTCTTAAAATGGTACAATTTCCTGGCGGGAGTCTAATGGAAATGATACTTTGGATCTCAGTCATTGTGGGTTTCTGTGTTTTTAAATGACGCTTCTCTCCGTGTGGGGTTCCTGAGTTTCATTGCGTGGGAAACAAAGAATAGATCCACTGCCTCCCTCAAAGCATGTCGTACGAACGGACTAATTAGGGGTTTCCTTCGAAGTCGGGAGTGCATCAGCCTGAGAGGCAGGGAACCAGCAGTCTGCGTACAAATAAGCTAGATATGTAAAACAGATGTGCACATAAAACTCAAGTTCTGGAACAAGACTAAAGTCCAGATGTGGACGAACAACCATAACTTTCTTCGTCATCATCATTATCATACTCATCTTCTTCTTTTACCGTCTGTAAAACTCCGGATGAAAGGTCTAGTTGTTTGTCTACTTCCGGCTTAATGATCATGAAATTAGAAACATATTTGTAATGTTTTTCTTTTTTGTTTTGTTTTGTGAACGTTATTGTCTTTATGCAAGTGCTATTGAAGGCTGACATATATAAACGTGCTTGCAGATTGTGTAGACCAGTTTTGCAAGTGTATTTCCAATCTCGATAAAACTGCAGTCGCTTGCGCTGATTTTAATTCTTATGTCATCACACATTCACCTTGCACACACACACGCACTCACGCATGTACTCACCCTCCCCCACGCACGCGCGCACACACACACACACACACACAGAGAGAAAGCGAGAGAGAGAGAGAGAGAAAGCGAGAGAGAGAAAAAGAGAGAGAGAGAGAGAGAGAGAGAGAGAGAGAGAGAGAGAGAGAGAGAGAGAGAGAGAGAGAATGTGCGAGAGAGCATGGATTTCATATCAATGTTCACATTGCTAGTGCTTCAGGGAGGTTACTCTTGTCTTCTGATCAGCTTTGTGCATTAGGCATCTTTGGTTATCGATTTCCTATAAGTAGACTGACAGGTCAATTGATTCTAGTTTTCAAGCTTTTGTGATCAGTTGATGGGGGTTTGGAGGGAGTGGGATGATATAGTGCCTGATGCTGCCTTTTTACTTTTCTTCTTTTCTCTACTCCTGGAATGCCTCGAGGCGTCATGGCAGGAAGAGATCTTTGGAACTGTCTCTTCTGTTCGCTTTGTATGCGGTTCATTTTAAAAAAATTAATATTTAGCAGACTAAAAAAAATTTTTTCTTTATACTATGTTTACTAGTTTGTCGGGGGCTGCGTGGTCTCGAGTGCTGGAGGTTCCGGGTTCAATTCCCGGTTAGGCCTGGGTTATTTTCACGTGGACTTGGACTTCTAGTAATTCTCCCTGGTCTCTGGGTAGTGAGATAGGGCGCTCGTGTGCATTGTTGCGCACGTAAAAAAAATTCCCTGTTGGAAATCGAAAAGTGTGGAAGGCCTCCGTATAAGAACGAAAGAACTGAAACAGTTTGTGGCTGCCGTAAAGAGAGATGGGGGAAGTCAGCATGATACCTCTTGGCAGCCTATCACTTATCTACCATGTGTTTCTCACACTGCTATAATACTTTAAGGGCTGGCATTAACGTCATGGCACACAATCTGAAATATGCTTTTGGGGATCGTAAGATATGGAACACAACATGATCGCCGATTTCAGTCAGCAAGGCACGTGATAATGACTTGAGTGGAGTGTTTAAGAACTTTGTGACAACCAGGAAGATAGAGGTTCAGAGGATACACAGACCAGTAGGTAGTGCAGGTAAAGGAATTGTGGAATACAGCTACCGTTACACATAGGCAACATGACAATGGACACGAAAAACGGAACCCTCATCCGGACCTCAAGACCACAGTGCAGGAACCCTGACGTGTTCGTAGTAACAGCATGACACGGCTAGGGGACGATAAGCCACCACTCCTGGCACAGCAAATAATTTACTCCACAAAAGCTTGGCGCAATTATAACCAGACCACAATTATTACCAAAGATGTTCTCAGCAGTGTTGATCGTGGCAAAATTTTTTTTTCCAAATGCCTGATCAGTGACGTGAAAACGAACGTGTACTTACTTTCTTGACTAGTTTGTTATTGGACCCAAATATAGGCCGGTTAACATAGCTTGCTATTATGCTAGCCGCGAACAGACGGTTTCACAGGCAAACAAGGTTTGTGAGAACTAGGTCAAGGTGACAGGATGAACGCTTGCATACCTGGGACTGTACACACATGTAGGCTAACAGCGCTGTCCAGCATAAAGTACCCTTTTGTCTGGTTTAGTCATCTTGACGCGATCCCTGGCTTGTCCACTGTACTTTGTTCAGCAACTTAGCACTGTCAGATTCGGCCAGAAAGTTTCACACGGTTTCGGATAGGACAGAAAATCTATAACTGAAGAGGAAGCAAATTAGTATACTTGTACTAAAAATGTATTGACAGTTTCCTGCCCGCTTGCATTTAATTCATTTATCACGATGTAATGTAAACGCCGTTGGTTTAGTGCCTTAGCCTGCCAAGACAAGAGGTCAGATCCCGTCTCCAGCAGAGGGAAAATTATTTGAACAACATACCGCCCTCGTACTTCTGTTACATCAAGTTTATTAGTTTCCATCAGTTTTTATAAGGAGTAGAAAATTATAGGGAAGAGAAAAAGTTGGTAAGAAACAACAATTAGTTTATATTAGCTTTACAAAATCGATCACAATAAACAAACAAAAGACGTTGCGGCGATTAGCCTTCATCAGCACATAAAGGACAACACAGTACACATACACAAATAGACTCTAACTATGAAGTGACTACATAGGACTCTAATGTATAGAATAAACGATACTCATCTAGTGTCCCTGGCGATAGGCATCAGAAACTGTTGCTCGACAGCACTCACAGCCCCCTGAAAACCCTCACACCCAATAAAATAATGTTAGCGCCCCCACCCCCCCCCCCAAATGGGCTTTCTTGGGAATAACGGTCCAAATTATCGAGGCCGAAAATATACCTAACAAGGCCCGAGTCACGTGTCAATTGCTGACTTCCGCCACCGCCTAGCGTGGATTGGGGTTTTAAACTAGATGGCTTGGACTCAAAGCAAATAAAATGATGGAAGCTGAAGGAGATGCGGTATCTGCTGCTCGTCTAGCCATCTGGGAGATGCTCTCAGCGGTGGCGGTAGTCGCCGGAAGTGCGCAATTTAAGTAGCCGAAAGTCCAAAATTGATATGTGACCGAGGCCCTGTTAGGGTATATTTTCGGCCTTGATAATTTTGGACCGTTATTAGGAGGATAGCCAAAACTTGTAAGACAGTTAAGCTGCGGTCTCTACCCCCCTGTCCCCAAACCGTGTACATACAGTTCAGTTGTTGAACCATTTGTTGATACTTTTTATATTTGTTTCCATAAATAAATGGATAAATGGATAAATATATAAACTCAATAATCGTTGCATCATTTCTTACAATGAAGTTTCTCTATAAACGAACATACGAGTCCACTTTATCCATCGGGCATGACCTCAACCAATAAGGCTTCTGAAAACAACAAATGAGCCATGGTCATTGTCTTGCTGCCCCATTCTAACAAACAGAGAGTGTATTGATTGGCACTCGTAGAAAGAGGAAACACCAACACCCCCCCCCCACACACACACACACACATATATATATATATATATATATATATATATATATATATATATATATAATGGGAAAGGTAAAGTCGGGAGATGTGAACCAGCGTCATTACACACAGTTATAAACCATAAGTGCACTGCCACCAGTACATACAGCTGATAAGAAACTGTCCGCCTGTGTCACCGTGCGCACGCAACTCTGTAGCTACAGCGATGTTCCTCCATTTACGCCAGAGCGTTAACTCTGGTACCCATTGCCTTGAGGCTGGGAGAGCCCCGGAAACCGCCCAGTTTCGAACACCAGGCTGTGGGCTTCAACGAGTCGCAGCAGGATTTGAAAGCGAGTCTCCTGTCGACTGCTCTAACACGTCCAGATAAATATATAATAAACAAACAGACAGTGTATTGATTGGCACTAGTAGAAAGATAGAAGGACACTAGACAACATACAAATCGAAAGCTGTAGTTATAGTGCCGGGAATCGAACTTGTCTGTATATTATATATGTAATATTGGTGCGGCTTTAAGGGTTCCCCTTCTGTTTACTTATGTGAAGAACAATTACTGAAGCAACCATTCAGAGACTGCTGCAGGAGTACATTGAGTTTGTGACTGATAGATGATTGGTCAGTCCATGGTGGCTAGACAGTCTGTGCACAACTTGATTGTACATTTAATCTTTGCCTTGGCCAAGGGTGGTTGGCCAGTCTGGGCAGCTGTGCTAACAGTTTCCACATAGGCCAGAGGTGACTGAGCATTTGTAGGCAGGCCTTCTCTGTAAGAGTAATAGAAATAGTAATGCACTTTTCTGTGTCTGCAGGTCAAGGTCTCAATGGAAGCAGCATAGCTGGGTTGCTTCAGCATGGATTTGTCTTACTCACAGGTAACTTAGCTTTCTCCCCGATGTGGTCTTTGTCCTCTATCACTTTTGCTGGCATTATGTCTGCACCAATGTCCTTGTCGCCCTTTTATTGTTTGTTCTGTATATATAAGTGGTAAGTATATAAATATTGGCGGTAACAAAACTACTGACCTGGCTAGAGACACAGATCTTTCCACATGGCAGCTTTCCAACAGATTCCGTGAACATTCACAAGAAGATAGATACAGAATTGGTTCAAAGACAATGCTTAGAGTTTCTGAGGAAATGTTTCTGACAGGATAAGTTTCATTGTTTTATGTGCCAGGCACTATGGGGTAACAGAATGAACAAGCCGGCTGGAATCACCATCGGCACAGGAGAAGTATAGGACCTGGCCGATATTTTTAGTTCTCTGAAAGAGGTAGGGCAAGAAGATAATTTAGGAGAAGACAGTCAGTTGGCAACCTTGACAAGACTACAAGAATTTCATGTCAAAAGAGGTGTGGCTAGACATGAATACTATACAGGTAGCTTAAGATAAATAGTCTTCTTCTCCTTTTGCTTCTCACTGATACCATGTTGTAGCCCAGTGTCGTGGTTTTGTCGTCTCACTGATACCAGGTTGTAGCCCAGTGTCGTGGTTTTGTCGTCTCACTGATAACATGTTGTAGCCCAGTGTCGTGGTTTTGTCGTCTCACTGATACAAATCTGTAGCCCATTGTCGTGGTTTTCTGTATTTGTCTTGCGCTTCTCTGGTGGTTTGGGTAATGGATTTGTTCATCTTTTGCAGGTTTCTGCTACATCATTTATCCATATCTTTCGTGGTCTTCCTCTTGCCTTCCACCCAGATGTTCTACTGTAAAAAGTCTCATATGCAGTTTGGACTGGCTGCATTTTCACTGATGAGTGAACCATTTCATTGTTTGTCTGTCAGGATAATCCAGACATGGTCTTATTCAAACTTCTCTAATGCTGGTATTCGCAACCCCGTCACTTCATGTGTTGTTAGTGACCTTGCGGAGATAGCGCATTTCACATGTAGTTATTTTCTGTTCTAGCCCTATTCATTGTCCACGTTTGGCACTTATAATCTAAAGTAGGAATAAAGATATTGTTATTCATTTGCTGTTTTGTTGGAAGGGAGACACTTGGGTGTCTAAGCAGTAGGGCCAACTGGTAGGTGACATCATGTGCCTTCTGTACTCTGGGTTGTATCTCTCTGTCGAGTCTGCCATCCTCTGTAAATATGCTTCCTAAATATTTGAATTCTCATACTCTTTTGAATGTAGTACTGTTAACATGAACAGTTATGTTAATATGTGTCCTCAGTTTTCATGGTGTTTATTCTCCTATCATACTTTGTGTAGGTACGATGTAAGGAGTCAGTATGGTGTTGTAAATTCTGTTTTTGGTGGTGTATTAGACATGGATTGTCTGCAAAAAAGAAGTTCAGTAATTTTTTCAGTGTCTGAATTTGTCTCCTATGATATTCTATCCGATATTCTATCCATGTAAGTAATGAATAGCAATGGTGAGATGATACATCCTTCTCTGACACCTGATGAGATGAGAAACTAGTCCGTTATTTCTTATGTTGTTCTTACTGTGCACTGACTATCTTGATAAAGAGCAATGGTGTTACCCAACAGTTGATTTTGAATACCATAATCTTCTAGAATCTTCCATAGTTTGCATCTACAAACTTGATTAAATGCCTTCTCTTGATTTATAAATATAAGATGTTGACTTTTATCATATTCAATAGACTGCTCGCATATCTGCCTTAAAGAAAATATTGCATCTGTACAGCTCTTTCCCTTCCTGAAACCCAACTGTCTCTTACTTAACAACTGGAGCTCTAGTACTGGTCCAGCTCTAAATTCAAATATTTTTGTAAACATCTTTCCAGTGTGACTCCAGATTTAGATGTCCGTGTATGTTTCACAGTCTCTTTTGTCCCCTTTATTCTTCCAAATGGGGACAATGATTGCTCTCTGCCATTCACTTGGAACCTTCCGTGCCTCTCACACCATGATTAAGATTCTGGTCAACCAAGCTGTTACTGATGTCTTACATGCAAGGAGCATTTCTTTTGTGATGCCATTTGTTCCCGCTGCCTTGTTCTGTTTACTTTGTTGGATATGATACATAATAAACTAGTGTTATCAGTAGTGACTCGTTGAGGGAGATATTGAACATGGGAATTCTCAGGTGGTATGGACTTGTCCGGTGTGAGACGACGATGATCAGTTGATTAATTAACTGTGTAAGTTGTATTACATAAAATGCTCTTACCCACTTTTGGTATTAACACCATCATTGCTAAACAACTCAAGTATAAACTTTACTGAGACATCAGCTCCCCATGTAGATTCAGGGGTGTCATTGGTGGAGGGGTGTGTGGGTGTAGGGGGTGCAGGAGAATAGAACAATCCCCTCCCTCCAAAAAACATGTCATGAAAGTCAACTAATTAGGGGTGTTTTCTTTGAGTGATTAGCATGAGATGTAAGGCACCAACAGTCTGCATACAAATAAGATGTGGTAATTTTGAAACAAGACTAAGTCCAGAAATGGGCGAGCAGCTAGAACTTTCTGTCAGAGTTTAAAGCCGGTAAACGTGAAAAAGAAATAGAAGAAGACTGAGACAACATATTCAAATGAAAAGTTTCCCTTCTTCTTGATTTTCAGAGCTATTATTCTGTTTTTTTTTTATTGTGGCTCTCTGTGGCACAATGATCAGCCTGTCTCATTATTTTAGGTCATGGATTTGTTTCCCAGATGTCTTGTTCAGTTCAAGAGTGCAGTTTTTACTGAGATCCTTGCTGGAGTTACTGAATTTGTGCTTTGTTCGATGCTTTTACCCTATTCCCTCTAACAAGCATGTCGTAAAAGGTGATTAATTAGATGTGTTTCTTTCAAAGTCAGAATGCATCTGTCTGAGAGGTGAGGGATCAGCAGTCTGCATACAACTAAGCCAGATCTATAAACCAAATGTGCATGCGAAACTTCTGTCCTGAGACAGGACCATAGTTCAAATGTGGAAGAACTACCAGAATATTCTGCCAGAGTTTACAGCTGGTGACTGCTAAGAAAAAAAAAGTTGACCTTGGTATTTCTACTTCCTTCTTTTTTTTCAGGTGGGAGGGACTCACAAGGAGGCCCTGTAGTAACTCTTCCATCACTGCAGAACAGATCAGATCCAAGTCCAGATGAAGTGGTCACTTGTTTACAGTACCTTATACAGATACCAAGGTAAACATTTCAGACCACCTTGCTGCAGTTTTAGGTAATACATAATCCTGTACCTTGACCCAAGGATAACAGTGGAAAGTGGACGTTTGACATTTACAAGTTTTAAATAATAATTGCAGGTATCCAGGTAAAAAATACCAGGGAATGGAAAGTGAGAAGCAACAACGAAATTCGTAATATGTTTAAATCACCATTGATAGCTGGCATCATGAGAGATAATAGACTGAAATGGTTGGGGCATATTGAGAGAATGTCAGATGACAGAAGTGAAATCATACAAGGGAGATGAATAGACCATGAGGCAGACCAAGAAGATTAAGGAGAAATAATGTCCAGACAGACCTGCAAACATTTGGTTTCACCAACTGGAAAGAGAATGCCAACCAGAGAGATTAATGGAGGCGGGTGATATCTGTAGCAATCAACCTCAAGGGCTCAGAATGCTAAAGAAGAAGAAAAAGGGAAACAATTATCTAGTAGTCAGTTACATTTCCATATACTGACTTTTTTTCTCATTCCACGTTTAGGAAAAACCCCAATTAAATATTTTTAAAGTTGGGAAAACATGTAGTCTTATACATGACCAAAAAATTATGTTACATAAGCTAAACATAACCATAATTTCAACATTGATTTTCAGTGAAGAAACCAAAAGGTTGGGGTTTTCTGTTGTTGTTGACACCAGGGATGGATCTTGGGCTAACCTCAACATGGTCATGGCTTGTCTGCAGGTAAGACAAACTATATCTGACTTAGTCACAGTAAAATGTCTTTGTCTTATATCAGTCACTAGGAGTAAGTAAAAAGCCTTCTTATTCTCGTGGCACTTTGTGCATATCGGGATAGACTAATCATGTATCTTGTCTATACAACATATACAACACAACATATACAACACAACATATACAACACAACATATAATTTTGTATAGACAAGTGGGCACTTAGAGGGTGATGTGGTCAACATCATGCAGGCCACCTTTACCTCCAAGGAGATAGCCCTTACCTGGATCAATCTGGAAAAGCCAAGGTCAATTTTGGGAAGAACAAAAAAAAATCACTGGGGATTTGAACTCAAAACCTTTAGGCCAACTGTGGAGCAGCTAGCCACTACACCGCTGTGGCTCCATAGGAATAGAGAATAACACTGTTTTAACACTAAGTCCTGTCATTCAGACTATAAAAGGCTGCCTGTAAAACACACATGAGAAAGGAACTGCTGATCTCTGTCATAATACAGAATTGATGTCAGCTATACATTGGCTGCCATAGTGGCCAGTGTATACAGAACAGAATACATGATTTTGGCTCATATCTCATCTAATTCTTCTATAAAGATAACTTCCAGTGTACAGCTGCTTGACATCTAAACATGAAGAAGAAGAGTTACCTTGTTATGGATCACAAACCTAAATGGAAAGCTTGATACCTTTTCACATACAGCCTTAACCATTCAGAGAATCACACTTCTTGCATACAAATAAAAAATAATACAAAATAATGAAAGAAGAGACAAAGCAGCAAAGAATTAAAACAGGAGTGTTAGAAAAAAAAGAAGGGAGGAGTAGGAAGCTGAGCGATAGATGTAGAATAAATCTGTCACTGTCTGGACTCATATTCCTAGCCTCATGATATGTGAATATTTGTGCATGTATTTGTTCCCTACTAAAAATCTTAGCTCTAGAACCCACAAGGAAAGAAGAATGAAGGCAGACCAAAAAACCATCTGAAGAAGATATTCAGAGAGGGACAAAAAATATCGAGGACATGTGACCTGCACATGATGGCCAAGTATAGGATGACTTAATGTGAGTGGGATAAGGCTGTGTGTGCTCCATTGTCTAAAAAAGATAGGAAATAAGGAAATAAAAAGAAGAAAAAAAAAAACCGAGGAAAAATATAAAGTATTGTCTTTATAGAACTGTTCACAGTATTCAAGGTGAAAGATTTATGTATAGTAGTAGTAGTACATTTTACCATACTAGGGCATCACACAAGCGATAAACACCTGATGACACAAAGGATCCCCAGGGTGGGGTTCAAAATAACGAAAAATTGCATCCCTCAAAAGAATGACAAATAATGCCAAACGTTTTTGTGTCTGACTGACTGACTTTCTACCCCACCAGGACATCATACAAGCGATAAACAGCCGATGACACAATGTGCCACCATGTGGATGAGGATCACTGTGGAGAGGTCCCAGAAACCGCATTCAGCCATTAGGCCATATTTATAGTCGGGCTTTATTACGGCCCCTGGCATGAGTCAGAGTAGGGCTTCAAATAACAAACAATTTCATCCTAAAAAAGATGGGAACATTTATGTGGTGTGAAGAGAAGCCAAAGTGACAGTATACAAGCAAAGGATGTTACAGTTACAAACCTTCATAAACAGAACAGTGATGAGAAATAAAACAGGCCTCTGTACGCGCGCACACACACAAACACATGCGCGCACATGCACAAGGCACACACAAATAAACCAATTCTGTTATGGCTACTTGAAGTATTCAGATATGCAAACGGTAGAACTCACGAACTTGGCCCAGAAAGAGAGTGACTTCCCTTGCCATTCATCTCTGGTCATGACAAAGGGCCTATCCTATGTTGCGGGGGTGACACACTTATTAAGTTTTCATCAACACAACAAATTTTACTTGCTGTTTTTACTGGTCGGTGATATCGTGTGGTCTATATTCCACGATGTGAACACTTTTAACAGTCCCAAAACATGTAGAACTGGCCCTAACCCTAACCCCCCTATGCCACAGCCTTAGCCTATGTCCCACAACTGCATGCAGCCTATGACAACAACACATAAAATACCTTGTGTTGCTGGATGCGCACTATGCATGACACCCCTGCAACATAGGACAGGCCCTTACGACCCAACCAGGTATGAATGGCAAGGCAAGTCACTCTTTTTCTGGGTCCAACTTCATGAGCTGTTCGATGCAAATAAATGGAAAAAAAAATACCTGAATTATATAAAGTTTGTTATACTTACCTGGACCATTCTGAATTTCAAAAGGGAAATAAATAAAACTGGTAAACATTCTTATAGATGAAATATGGAAGCAGTTCATTTCAGTATAAGCTTCACTGGAGTAACAGGGCAGAAGATGAATGAAGGAGAATATAAAGTGTATGAGACTTTAAAAGATAATGTTTAATAATTTTATATTCACCAACAAAGCATTTACTGTAAGGCATTCAGCTTAAAGGGAAACAATCTGTTATCATCTTTTAACTAGTGCTGCATTCTTTTCAGAAAACTGTTAGCAGTTATGTAAAGCAGGTTTTGGTGGTTCTCCATGAGAATGATAAACGAGCGAACCAAGACAGACCCTCAAATTCAGATGTAAGTCTTGTTGATAGTCTATTTAGCTGTCATTAAGTGCAGACTTTCTTCTAATGTACTCAAAAGTTTACATACGTATGCATTCTTAGTGACTCGATGAAAATGCTTAAAAAATGTAAGTTTAATTTATCAGGCGAGAATGGATTGCAACACTAAGCACTTCACGAATAGCTACCCTAACCTTCATCTTTGTGCCAGGTCATGCGGCTGTTCAAAAAACCAAGCATGCAGACTAATCTCGCTGACCCTGCATTTGCTATGGCTGGCCCAGTACTGGACAGAAGTGACATTATCAATGCCATGCACTGCACTTACCGTACCGAGGAGCACGCCAAAGGACATGACTCTGTATCCCTGTCTAAATTGATGGACATGGGAGTGCCGCCTGAAGCAGCAAGAAATTAACATTTCACTAAGGGGACAGGACGTTTCATTAACCAACACAGAACAGGCGTTATCCATCATTTACACTTGTGGAGCTTTTGAGGAGGAGATGGGAGCACCTATGGATCTGTCCGGAGTGCTGTGTTGATAATTCTTTCTAATCACTAATCACTTTCTTCTAACTGCTTGTGAGATTGAGTTTACCTGACTAAAAGCACACAGCTGAAATTGTCCTGTACATCAGTGGTAATTGATTTATAGGATTGAGAAAACAAAATGAATATAATCTTATGCTTTATTAAGTATTATGTTAGCTATTGAAATAATATTTTTTGAGCTATACATTGCAAATTTGTATTATATAACATGTATTTTAACACAAATTGTGATTAATATAATACATAAACCTTCTTCAAAGGACACATATGGTCAGCATTCTCAAGCTTTAGAAGTTTGCTGAAATTTGATGTGTGAAGCCAAACGGTGCAGCTATCACAGCCTAGCTGCCAGACAAGAGCAAACATAATATTCTGAAATGTAAATCTATTGTTGTAGATTTAAAGGAAAAAAAACAACTACAAGTACTATGCTAATGTATGTTGATTTCTGATTTTTACCTAGCCCCGCTACATCACAGTGAATCAATTATTCAAATACATTGACCCAAAGCAGCTGACCTATGACTTAGGTGGCCGCATGGAGTACAACCACAGCATCTGGTTACGAACTCGACTGGTAAGTCTTTTGATAGACCTCATTGCTGTTGTGTTGGTGACTACTAATAAAGCTCTTTACTGATTGATTGGATTCACTAATAATCGTGACTGGATTCACTAATAATCTTGATTGGATTCACTAATAATCTTGATTAGATTCACTAATAATCTTGATTGGATTCACTAATAATCTTGATTGGATTCACTAATAATCTTGATTAGATTCACTAATAATCTTGATTGGATTCACTAATAATCTTGATTAGATTCACTAATAATCTTGATTAGATTCACTAATAATCTTGATTAGATTCACTAATAATCTTGATTAGATTCACTAATAATCTTGATTAGATTCACTAATAATCTTGATTTGATTCACTAATAATCTTGATCTTGATTGGATTTCACTAATCTTGATCTTCACTAGTAATAATCTGATTCACTAATAATCCTAATAATCTTGATTAGATCACTAATAACTTGAAGTATTTCACTAAAGTTTGTACATACCTGATTGGAACTCACACACTGTGCATTGACTGTCAATAGTTTGTTGTGAGTTAGATTTTGTGAGTAGTAAAAAGGCCTTCACTTTTTGCAGTTTACACTGAATGATGGATTTTTAACAGAGTGCAGCAGGAACCCCAGACCTCCAGTTGATATATTTGTGTGTGACCTTAATCCAAGAAGGATACACAAATGATCCTGTGCTCTGAGGTCAGATAGAAAGATGACATCATAAGATTGCCCTAAAACAGAGATATTATAAACAAATTATCTCAGCTGAACTCGAGCCTGGTACCTGTTAGACTGTGTCAAGAGCATTCATGTTTTAAAGTAGTAAATGCAGTATTTTTACAATCAAATACACAGCTTCAGCAGAGACTGGAATTTGAAAGAGACCAATGAAAAAAAAAATAAAGTACAGAAAAAAAGTGAAACATTTTGGCTGTATTTTAAAGTCATAACACATAAAAAACACACTGGAGGAAGGAGTTAAAGACATGCTCTCCGTGTGAGTTATGGGGCCTCATGTGGGGAGGGGGTTGGTGTGGGGGGGGGGGGGTGTGAGGGGGGGGGGGATTTTCATATGATAAGTATATTGTAAACGGTGACTGACTATTTGCTGAAATCATGTGTTAGGCCAAAATGTGCAGATATTGCAGCTAATTATAAACCACTTTAATATGCCAGTGATCCTTCTATGGGCATGCAGAAGAGAATGAGGAAGAATTATTTCTTGCAGTATAGATGCAATCAAATAGAGAGGTTCAGCAGAGACTAAGACTCACAGCTGATGAAATAAATGAGAAAGATTTGATTAACAAGGCATGGGACTCTAACTGGAAGGAAAAGTTAAAGGCAGGTGAGAAGAATGGGATGTTTGTGAATAAATCACTATGTACATCTCAATAAATCAATTTTTTTTTCTAATACAGAACTATGAACAGTTCCTGAAAGATGCCCAAACTACTGTAGAACATCTAAAAATTCAAGAAGGAGAAATTCAGAGGTCCTATAATCATCCAGACCCTCAAGCCAGTCCTCTGGAAGCCCTGAGAAAACACAGACAGTTCCATGAGGTCATCATGACAGTCCCAACAGAAGTCATCCATCAAGGTTAGTTAATGACTCTTGAGTTGTTGAATTTTGAGTGAATTGCTGAAAAATTTTCTGCAGAACTGTCAAGTGTTTTGTTATATTAATCCAGAATCCATGTTTAAATATAAATAACACACAAAATTCAAGACAGGCATATCTGCCATGTGTACCTTTGGAAAGGTGCCCCAGACAGCAGAGCATGTACTCAGGGACTGCACCGAATTTGGCACAAACCTTTTGGCCAGACAGAACAACAGTGGAACGTAAACTCTACGGACTACTGAATGAACTAACAAAGACAGTGAAATTGATAGGAGAGACAAAATTGCTGATATAGACAACTTATTTCAGGTGAACGAAAGAAGAAGAAGAAGAATATAAACAACAATAGTGCTAGAGAACAGCAAGTACAGATTTAGCAAGAATAAACATTCCTAATATGGGGGGTTCATCACTATTCCAATGACAATTATAATTTAAACCATTTAAAAAAAAATTTTTTTTTTTTTGATATGGTCTTAAACAGGGCAATGGATTTCACACTGCAAATGTCATAGCATGACAAAAGTCATGCTTCTTTAATCTATACCATAAGAAATAGATAAATTGTAAGTTAGAAGAAACATAAACATACATTATCTGAAATAACAAACAATTTTATATATCCTAGATATAATGCAGTTCTGTGTGTAAGTTCTAGGGTCCCATTTTGGCGGAACAAATAGACCCGTTGCCCCTATAATAACATGTCAGAAAAGGTGACTATTTAGGGGTGTTTGCTTTGAAGTCAGGGTGCATCTGCCTGGGAGGTGAGGAACCAACAGGCTGCATGGAAATTAGTCAGATCTGTAAAAGGATGTGCAATCAGAACTGAAGTCTTTTAACTTCTTCTTTGTTCATTGACTGTAAGCTCCGGTGGGAAGTCCTGGTCATTCATCCATTTAGACTTTGTGCCAAGCCTGAGTTTTGCATTTCTTTGTTCATTGACTGTAAGCTCCATTTTGGTGGGAAGTCCTGGTCATTCATCCATTTAGGGGTGACTTTGTGCAGGGTGCAAGCCTGAGTTTTGCATTTCTTTGTTCATTGACTGTAAGCTCCGGTGGAAAGTCCTGGTCATTCATCCATTTAGACTTTGTGCCAAGCCTGAGTTTTGCATTTCTTTGTTCATTGACTGTAAGCTCCGGTGGGAAGTCCTGGTCATTCATCCATTTAGACTTTGTGCCAAGCCTGAGTTTTGCATTTCTTTGTTCATTGACTGTAAGCTGCGGTGGGAAGTCCTGGTCATTCATCCATTTAGACTTTGTGCCAAGCCTGAGTTTTGCATTTCTTTGTTCATTGACTGTAAGCTGCGGTGGGAAGTCCTGGTCATTTATCCATTTAGACTTTGTGCCAAGCCTGAGTTTTGCATTTCTTTGTTCATTGACTGTAAGCTCCGGTGGAAAGTCCTGGTCATTCATCCATTTAGACTTTGTGCCAAGCCTGAGTTTTGCATTTCTTTGTTCATTGACTGTAAGCTCCGGTGGAAAGTCCTGGTCATTCATCCATTTAGACTTTGTGCCAAGCCTGAGTTTTGCATTTCTTTGTTCATTGACTGTAAGCTCCGGTGGAAAGTCCTGGTCATTCATCCATTTAGACTTTGTGCCAAGCCTGAGTTTTGCATTTCTTTGTTCATTGACTGTAAGCTCCGGTGGAAAGTCCTGGTCATTCATCCATTTAGACTTTGTGCCAAGCCTGAGTTTTGCACACTTCTTTGTTCATTGACTGTAAGCTCCGGTGTGGGAAGTCCTGGTCATTCATCCATTTAGACTTTGTGCCAAGCCTGAGTTTTGCATTTCTTTGTTCATTGACTGTAAGCTCCGGTGGGAAGTCCTGGTCATTCATCCATTTAGACTTTGTGCCAAGCCTGAGTTTTGCACTTCTTTGTTCATTGACTGTAAGCTCCGGTGGGAAGTCCTGGTCATTCATCCATTTAGACTTTGTGCCAAGCCTGAGTTTTGCATTTCTTTGTTCATTGACTGTAAGCTCCGGTGGGAAGTCCTGGTCATTCATCCATTTAGACTTTGTGCCAAGCCTGAGTTTTGCATTTCTTTGTTCATTGACTGTAAGCTCCGGTGGAAAGTCCTGGTCATTCATCCATTTAGACTTTGTGCCAAGCCTGAGTTTTGCATTTCTTTGTTCATTGACTGTAAGCTCCGGTGGGAAGTCCTGGTCATTCATCCATTTAGACTTTGTGCCAAGCCTGAGTTTTGCACTTCTTTGTTCATTGACTGTAAGCTCCGGTGGGAAGTCCTGGTCATTCATCCATTTAGACTTTGTGCCATGCCTGAGTTTTGCATGTACATTCATTTAACTGGCTTATTTATGTGGATTTGGTTGTTCCTTGCCACTCTAGCAGATGCACTCCGACTTCAAAGACTTTGAACAGGGCAAAAGTTGAGAAGTGGAGAAACAATCATAACATTCCACTGGAATTTACAGCCAGTGAGCGCTGCCTGGGCAAAATTTGGAGTTAAAAATCTACCCAAAGTATATCAGGATCCTCGCTGGTGCTATGGAGTGCATGTACTGCGTTGAGGTTCTTCGGATTCAGGCTTAAGTCGCAAGTAGAATGGAGCACTTATGGGTTACTACCCCTGTGCCATGATGTTGATCCGTCACCTAAACCTAAACCACCAAGTGATGCAGAACCAGCTAGTCTATCTACCTGCTCATTTCCCAACACATTGGCATAACCTGAAGAAAATATCTAAAGGATGCTAAATAGCCAGCCCGAATAGAAAGAACGATTAATGGTAGTTGTTGGGTGGATGATAGTGAAAATATATATATGCTCTGAGGGTTACATATAATTGCTCTTAAACTAGTACTGTACCTTTAGTTAACATCTGTACCCTGCTTGTGTTTGTACAGGACAAGACGTGCTGAAATCTCTGCAGGAAAATGGTTTCAGTGGTTACAGTGATAACCAGGGAATGATTCCAACACTGGACAACTTGGAAGCTCAGAAACAGGTATTGCTCCTAATCAGAGCCATCTGTAACAATTCTTAATGTACTTTACACTAACATAATTATGTGACCTGGGAGAAAAGCCTGGTGAAGCTCACCCATGCGATATTTGAGGCTAAGGTAGGAAACATTATAACCAACTTCTTTTGAGAACAATCATTAGACGTACGTTGGAGTGGCTGCTGCAAAGTGGGGATGCCCAGTATGCAGCCGTGTTAGCTGTGATAACATAACATTTGTTTTGTATGGTTGCACAGTTAAATTATCTCAAGTCAGACATATAAAAAAAATGTGAAATACCTTCAGAAATGGAAAATCAATGTTCTGTCATGCTTTGTTCATTAATTTTGAAAAATACTACCTTATAATCTAATGTGTCATGTAGCACAGTGTAGTCAGTTAGATGCTGATCTTCATGCTTGTTTTTATCCAGTCTCATGCTTGTAAAATACCCCACTATTTTGTGATTGTCTTTGAATTGTAATATGACATTTTTGCCACCCTTTTACATCACATTGTGAATTACTCTGTTTGTGGGGGAGCGATGGTAGGGCAGTAGTTAGATGCTTACCTGTAGGCCTGGGGTTCAAATCCTACTATGTCCGATATTTTATAGTTGACTTGGCTCTCAGGTTGACCCAGCCTAAAATGTGTACCAGGAAATGCCTGAGAAGTAAAGGAAACCATCGTTGACCCCCACACTTATTAAATTCTGCTTCATAATCATCAACATACTGTGCCATTATACATGGAGCTCACAGTATATTCTTCCATTCTGTTTTATTCTGTGCAGCTGTTTTACTACCATGGACATAATTCTTTTGCCTCTCTAATCAAATTTCATTTGAGGGTATCTCCTTGTTTTCTCAGTCCATTTGTAACAAGTGCTAAGTGGTCTAAACAAATCTTTACCTTTGGAAACCTTATGCCAAAGCCAAAAAGGTCCTTCACTTAAAATTATTTTTTGAATTTGAAGACTGCTTTTCATTTTTGGCAAAGCCAGCATTGTATTCTTTATTTATTCTCAAATAGTGTATGCTTTTGCTACATTGTTTTTAATAGTTACAAATTTGTGGTATTATAGTATTATAAATTAGTCACATATAAATATATCAGAACAAATTGTTAGCCATATATAATTCACATATTTAACCAGGTGAAGCGGGTTCTCCAGTACCTGACAAACAGAGTGGACAAACTGCAAGAATTCTTGGAAGACAGAGACAGGTCTCTCAATGCGAACATGCAGTATGCTGAATGGAAGCGTAATGTCAAAGTGGTCAGTGATTAAAAGATTCTTTTATAAGCAAATTATTTGTCAGAAATTGGCATTCAGTAGCAGTATCTCAGCACTCAGGGCATGACCTTATTAGTATTTATTATCTTTTTCAGAGCATTATCAGTTCTTCTTCTTTTGTTTAATTCTTCTTCTTCGCATTCACCAGCTGTAAACTTTGGCAGAAAGTTCTGGTTGTTTGTCCACTTCTGGACTGCAGTCCTGTTCCAGAACCTGAGTGTTGCGTGTGCATCCATTTGACAGATATGACTAATTTGTATGCAGACTGTTGGTTCCTTGCCTCTCAGGCAGATGCACTAAAACTTAGAAGGAAGCTCCCAATTAGTCGACTCTTACGACATACATGCTTTTGTGTAGGCAGTGGGTCTATTCTTGTTTACCCTATAATAGGGCTCCGGAACCCACGGGGAAGATTGAGTTTGCTTTGAAGCAATTGTCTGTATTTGTTGTCTTTTATATACTCTCCTGTTTAAAAAAAAATAAAGATCAGTGGACTATAACATTTTGCTTTTACTATTGTTGCCAACAACCTTTTTACTAGATATTGAAATAGGTGTTTCATTTCACTTGTAAGTAATTTGTTTCACACATTGTCCAGCCTTGAATGGTGCATTTGGTGTTGAACACCATGCAGTCAGTCCATGTTCCAGGTGTGATTGTATGCTCTGTTGAAAACTTTTCCATTGGTTCCCCATGTGGGGGAGTAACATCCAGATCATGTAGCCTAAAACTGTTTTTTTTTGCTAAAATATAACCCTCTCTGTTAATGGTGTCTGTGACTTACGGTATTGAGCACAGTTTTATAACCCTGGTTTTATGGAGTTTGAATTCAGCTGCAGGCAATGTGGTAGCAGCCCACTGTGCTTTGATCTGAACATTTGTGTGAGTGTTGTGAGTGTGAGTGTTGTATCATTAAGAAAGCAGTGACAAACTACTGAACCTAGTAAAATAACAACACCTAATAGCCAAAAAATGCCTGGGTGTTTGGTGATACCCTGAGAAAAGTATGCAACTAATTTTAACAATATTCTGTAATTGTCGTGGAATCAACTGTAGTCTACTTCTGTACAGTGTAATTTGATTACACCATTTATTTAAGTTGTAATTGAATTATTGATTTGTTGCAGTGATACGACTTAAATTACTTACTTTGGTCTGTTATTGTTTTGAGGTGGTTGACTGGGTGCTGGGACCAGGTGAGAAACTGTTGGCCTCCCAGAATGATATAGGAGATTCATATGAAGCAGCAGAGGAATTGAGGAAGAGACATGAAGAAATGGAAATAAAATGTACAGTAAGTGGATGTTTCAAATATAAAAGTCTAGTCAAATATTGGGCAGGTTCCTTGTTATCATTGTATGTTTTCAGTAGGTTTGAAAATTGAAACATTTTCAAAAGTTCAAGTTATTTTCTATTTGTAGCTGAGGATGTCAAGCCTTGGTGTGGGACTGAGCTATTGCATAACAGTAGTGTTACGATCTTGATAAGGGTTAAGAGTAAGAAAACCAGACTATACATGGGAATGTTAAGACCTGAATGGGAACATGTATTGCATAGGAATGGACAGCAACATGATAAATGACAGTTAACAATGGGATGTGAGAAATGATTGACGGTTTTATTACCAGCCTTTGATTACAGTTTTGTATTAGTAAAGTAAAGGAGCCTTTTTCACACCTTTCAGGCGTTTGGGCCTATATAGACCTATATTTTATAGACCAACAACACTTGGTGGATGATGTGGTTAGCATTACGTCGGCCACCTTTACTACCCAGGACTGTACTTGGTACTCACTCAAGGCTGGGTCCACCTGGGAGCCAAGGTCATTTAGATTTGTATTGGTGTCGTAATAAATTATAAGTTAAGTCATTGTGTGTCTACCTTAGTATGTATATTTGTGTGCTTCAAGCCAAGGGTGTCATGAAACCTTGTTGGAAATAAATGAGCCCAACAAGAAGCCCAGTATGGCTGAGGTTTATGACAGTCAGTACTATTGTTCTCTGTAAACGCTGAATGTTGGGCAAGGTGTACTTAACCTGAGATCCCACTTGAGCCAGTGGCTTCAGACGCAGGAGCAGACAAGGGAGGATGTTAGCCTTATCCTAGGACAAGAAATGCCACTTTGTATTTCATTACTAGCCACATATTTGGTGCCAGATATTCTTTCAGGAAAGTAAGGAATAGATCCCAAAGTACTAATCATGTGTATTCTGTGTGTGGTTTAGTCACCAAACTGCCTTACTTTATAATATATATATATATATATATATATATATATATATATATATATATATATATATATATATATATATATATATATATATATATATATATATATATATATATATATATATATATATATATATGATAATGAACACTATCATATCTTCTAGAAATATGGAAAGGTGCCAACAACCAACATATATTTAAGACCTATCTCAATTTTTTCCTACTTGGCCAAACTCTGGTTATATTTCTAAAAGAGGTGAGGATGAATTGCAAAATACTACTCATATGTAATCCATGTGTACTCTATTTGGTAACTGAACTACTTCACTTTCAATATGTATTTAAAGTATGTAAATAGAGTTATTTTTCTTTTGTGTACATTACCAGAATCAAAGTTAACTTACATCTTTTTGTATACCTTCTTCAAAGGACACATATGGTCAGTATGCAGAGCTGCGTCACACAGTTGATGATACTGTAGCTGCGGGTCTCCCTATTGCTGATGATATGAAAGCAGAAAGAGATTATATGGACACCGTGTGCCGCAGTTTTGCAACAAGACTGGAGAGGAGGAGAACTTTGCTCATCACCTCTGTCAGGTTTCACAGATTTGCTGAAGAGGTCAGATTTCTTGATTTTCTTAGAAGATACTCAATATAGTCAAGTTGTCTGTAGTCTGTTTGCTTGATTCTTTCAATGACAACATCATGAGATGTGTGACTTTTCTTCTTCTTCTTAAGCTCACTGGCTGTAAACTCCGGCAGAAAGTTCTGGTCGTTCTTCCACTTCTGGAAACTTCTAGAAATATTGCAGTCAGATTAAATTACAGAAAACTCTTATAAAACCCTATTGGGGGTGGGGGGATTGAGGGCAGGTGAGCAGGAGGTAGACAGTGATACAAGTGAGAGAATAGTATCATGAGATGAATCATCATCATCATCAATTTCCACTTCTGCCGTTAAGTGTCTTGGGGAGGAACAGTTTGTTATCCATTACTTGATGGGCAGCATTGGCTATTGCCATTCCATGTCAGTGTAAAAGCTCTTCAATGTCATCAAGCCATGTTCTCCAAGAGTGGCTGTGAGATGAATAACAGTGAATAACTGCAGCCTATTAGTAGAGTGTACAGATAAAGTGAGAAACAGCATTGGTGATACATTCTCTGACTCAACTCAGTGGATTATTCTAGCCACCCTTTTATTGTAGAGTATTGATTGAATGAGTATTTCATGTTTGAGTTACATGACAAACATCCAGGACCTGAGTTGTCACAGTTATGTGTACTATCTTCTTCTTTTAGCTGTCAGCATGTCTGGATGAGTTGCTGGAGCTTTTCTCAAGTGATGTTGAAGCAGACACTGTGGAGGCTGTGGAGGAAGCCATCAAAACCCTAGAGACAAAGTGTGATAACTGTGGTAAGCTTCATTATGAATGTTATGTATATATAGAACAGGCGTCATCAGTCATTTTACTTTTGTGGAGCTTTTGAGGAAAAGATGGAAGAACTTGAACCCAAAACCTCCAGCACTCGAGGCAGACACCATGACACAAGACCGCTTAGCCACAGTGAGTGTATTATATGGAGGCAAATTCTTTCTTGATGAAGATTAACACCCAGCAAAGAGTAGCTTTGGAACTGAGAAACCACACAGATTTCATGCTATATTATAGAATTATAAAATTAAAGAATGTTTAATTTAAAAAAAAAAAGGTCACTATGAATTTTAGAATTGTAAAGCTAGAAACACAGAGTAGGTCAAGAATGCGATGGAAATATAACCTTAGAGAAACTATATAACAGCAGGATGTGTCTGTGGTCAAGGTGGCCAGAAAAGCGAGAAGCAGAACCTTATATCTCCCTCAAGACCTGAAGGGGTTAAAAAAAAAACAGAAGAAGAAGCAAGAAACAATAGCTCCCTTACTAAATTTTAGAACTGTCAAGCAAGAAAAGATAGTTTCCACACTGAATTTTTGACAGTGATGAAATAAGCAATAGTGCCGACACTGAATTATAGAACTGGGAGTCAAGAAATGGATCTCAGTGGCAAAGTGACTAAACTGTTTGTCTCATGTGCTGAAGGTTATGTGTTCGGCCTTTTACTTTATTCTTCAGTAGTTTGTGACTGAATATGTTTATGGGTTTCTGGGTTGCATAGCTGGGACTTTAAAGTTTTGTGTAATGTTCTTGGTTGGCGAACAGCCTCCCTACAGTAAGAGACCGAGGTATTTCAGATGCAAACCAGTGCAGTATAGTCAGTTTTCTTGCTTTGAAACAGAAATGATAGTTCCCACACAATTATAAAAATGTGAATCAAGAAAATATAGTTGGATGAAGGTTGATTCAGTGGATCTCCAGAATTCTCTGTGTCTAACCATATCTAAGATTACTTTTCACCTATCTCTTGATTTGGTCTTCCCACTTTTTCATTGTCTACATCCAGCTTGCTTGCTTGCAATTTGTTCCTCCAATATAGTTTTCAAAGGAGTGTTATGTCTTACAGTGTGGACATTATATTTTTTTGGGGTGGGAAAATGCCATGGATTAGAAGGTCATGAGTTCAGGTCCTGATGGTACCAGACTTTAAAAAAACAAAAAAACAATGACATTGGCTCCCAGGTCAACCCAGTTATGAGTGCAGTTAATAACCCTGAAATGCCAGATTTGATTCATCCAACACACTAGCCATATTTGAGATTACTTTTCACCCATCTCTTGATGTTGTCTTCCCACTTGTATGGCCGTCTACACCCAACTTACATGCTTGCAGCTTATTTCTCCAGTATAGTTTTTATAGAAGTGTTATGTCTTATAATGTAGACAGTATATTTCACTTCCCCCCCCCCTCTTGGGAGCTGCCATGATGTAGTGGCTAGAAGCTCATCTGTGGATCGGAAGGTCGTGGGTTCAGATCCAGACTTTTAGCACACACAAAAAAAAAAATTTACCTTGGCTTCCGGGTGCACCCAGCCTGAAGGTGTGCAGAAAGGACCTTTGTGTTACCTTTCTTTCTTACAAAAAACTCCCTTTTCACTCCTAGTGCATCTAGATGTCTGTATCTGTATTTGATTATTTTTGTTTCCATGAAGTGTTACATACTCTTCTGTATATCCATCGGCATCTTGGCTAAGGGGGTTATGAATGCAGTTTATAACTCTGAAATGCCAGATTTGATTCAGCTGCTGGCAGTCAGACAGTTTTGCATTGATTTTGGCAGTGGTAGGAAGCTTTAACTGTTCAGAAGGTAATAGAAAACTACTGGATGTAACATTGTCTCTTATAACAGACAAACAGCCAACAAATGTTGGTTTATGTTTGCTACATCCAGTAAATAATATGCAACCAACTTTTCTTTCTGTGTGTATATATATAAATGTGTGTGTGGTAACATATATATATATAAATAATTTACTTGTCTGCTCCATCTTCAGACAGGGTAGCAGAACAGAGTCTCAATGATGGACAAAGCTTGCTGGATGAAATGTCTCGGCCAATCAAGAATGCTTTTGGCAAAGACATTAGCCCAGATTACAGCAATCAGATCAAACATGTCAACAAGAGGCTGGAGAACTTGCAGGAGAGGAAGATGAGGTGTGATGAGCTGGCTGATGTCAGGAAGCTGAAGCTGCAACAGCTGCTGCAACTGAGGACATGTGAGAGGGATACAGATCAGGTCAGCAGTTGCATTTGGTGAAATACTATCTGTAGTCACATAGCCGTCGGCTCTGTGGCTAAGTCGATTTAAACGCTTCGCAATGCCGGGATGCCGGGTTCGATCCCAGCTGCAGGCGATGCTCCTTGCGTTGGTTTCGACAGTGGTATCAAGAAAGCCGACCGTCCAGAAACCATTGGCAAACTACTGGACGTAAATTTGCCTAGGAAAATCACACAACAGCTAGGGGCTGTTGGGGTTGGTTCTGCAACGTCCTGTAAAGGATACACAACTAACTAACTAAGTCACATAGCGTTCATGCTATACAGGGCAGACCACTTAAGGTGATCTTGGATGTGGCAAATTTCTGTTCTGAAGAACAACTTATTTGTTCCCTGCAATTTTTCTTGCTTGAATTGTTATCTGGATAAGAGGAATTTCTGATAAAAAGAACCATTTCTTGGGTCCCTCGTGATGTTTGCACTGTATAAAATAATGTAAACTAAAGGATACTTATTATTCCTTTGTTGCACCGATCTTAGGCTGGGTCGACCTGGGAACCAAGGTCAGTTTTGAAAAACATCTGCCTTGATGCACATTAGTGCTGTCTTGTTATTTGCAAATTAAGAAGCAGAATTGTGTGTTAAACTGAGAATTGATTGAATTGAAGAACCATCTTCATCACACTTAAAGGAAACAACTGTTATAGCCGTCCCCATGTGGGATGGCAATTTTTTGTTATTTGAAGCCCCATCCTGGTTTTTGCTGGGGGCCCTAAATATAACCGGCCATAAATATGGCTTAACGGCTGAAAGGGGTTTCTGGGACCTCTCTACGGGTGATCCTCATCCACATGGTGGTCACTTTATGTCACCAGTTGTTAATCTCTTGTGTGATGTCCTATTGGGGTACAATTTACATACATTCATACTTCATTGCTCAGTCTGTCATCATTTATGCAAGAAAAAAATTATACAAATTGACTTTGCTCTTAGATCAACCTAGCCCAAAAAGGTTCTTAGAGGTAAAGAAAGATGGTGTAATAGTAAGCACTTAACATATCAAATGCCAGTTGGTATGTAAAAGTGTGGGGCGAACACATCTCAAAGAAATACAAATGATCCCTAATTGGTCTTTTGCCCAAATGTTAAATCTAATTCATTGTCTTCTTCTTCACCTACTCTTTTACCATTACTGTTTTGGTGTCGAGGGAAATAAAAGGTTCTAGTTCTTGCTCTTCTAGTCACCTCAGCCATAGATACATCAAACTTTTGAAAAGTTTCTCTAATGTTTCCATTTTGTTTTTAGTCTGCCTCATGCTGTACATTCCTCTCCTCTTTCGGTATATATCTTGCATGGTATGGCATCACAAGGCATTCTCTCTAAGGAGGAAAACCATTTTATTTGCCGTCTGTATAAAGGTTAGAACTGGTTGACTTTTTCTCTTGTGACTTCATTTATTCTTTATCATTAGGTGTAACAAAAAAAACAAAAAACAAAAAAAACTTGAAGATGTTGTGGATTATTGTTCAGTCTAATATTTACAAATTCTGTCTACCAGAATAATGCCTTCGATAAAACTTTCAGTATTTTTCTTTCTTTTCTGAGAAGACTCAGGAGCTAATCTTTTGCCCAGGAATTCAGGGGAAAGTATAATATTCTCAGTGGGGAGGATATGGGGGTGAGCTCCACATGAGTGCAAATGATAGAATTAAATGGCTTGAGTTTGTTGACAACCTATGTTCACTGGGGGGAACATGTGCAAAAGAAGAAGAATAAAGGTCGTGCAAGTTACCTTTTTTAATTAACAAAATACACCTGGACTAATTGCAGGTACTTTTTTCAAGTTATAGACAGATTGTGAACCTCCAAGATAGTTTGATAAGGTTATTGTGTTAAGTTCTTGTGTTGTTACACTGAAAGCCATTGATACTTGTTCTGATTTGTGGGACTTGCATTTTCTGGAAATATTGTTTATCAAATCTGACACAGTTTTCATGAATGTTTTCTAGGCCATAAACTGGATAAACGAGCTGTGTGACGTGATGGTGACCACTCACACAGACATGGGCCAGAGCTCCGATGAAGTTGAAGCTCTGCATGATGATCATAAGAAGTTTGAGGCCACTGCCCTGGTAAGCTACTTCATGTAAAATACTAATGGTTTATGCACATTTGTTCTTGGTGTTTCGCAACTGTACACAGTTACAGTACCAGCACCTCTGTTTAGACATCATTTTATCAGAAAATGTTCTTTCATGGACCAAACAAATGAAATTCTGATGGTGCCAAGTCTGAGCTGTATGTTGGATGTTTCAATACTTCAGACTGCAGAGTCTGTATTGTATCCATTGTATGTGCAACCGTGTTGGGGAAGGCAGTATCGTATGAAACTCTTAGTGTGCTTCTGTTCATTGTTCAAGCGGCAGACTAGCACCTGGCAGGCTTATAGACTTCATTGGCGGTACATATTAGAGAATGGCATGTAACAGAGAGACTACAGATTGTGTTTTCAAAAGAGTTTAACGAATATACACCATGAGGCGTACCAAGAAGACATTGGAGGGATAATATAATGCAGACCTACAAACACTTGAAGTCATTAACTGATGGGAGGAACTAAAGAAGAATAGACCCATTGCCTTGCTAGCAAGCATGTGGAATAGTTGACCAATGAGGGAGTTTTCCTAATTAGAGCATCTGCTTGAGAGGCGAGGTACCAAGTCTGCATACAAATAAGCCACATCTGTCAAACAGATATGCCTGCAAAATTCAGGTTCTGAAATGAGACTAAAATCCAAAAGTGGACACACATCTGGAACTTACGGCCAGAGTTTACAACTAGTGAACACTAAGGAACCACACCATGCCTGCAATACATAAAGAAGCAACAAATCGAGTGGTTTGGCCACTTGATGCGAATGCAAACCGACCAACTGCCTCTACTACTGCCCTAGAGCAAGAGGCAGACCGAGAGTACGATGGATAGACAATATATCAGAGATCCTGAGGCAACACGGACTAACAACAACACATGCAACACACCTGGCCCAGGATAGAAAACTGCGACTCCCCACTACGCTCTGAGGCAATTGTGGACAAGACAAGACAAGACAAGAACACTAAGAAAATGACTATAAACTGATAAGAGAAAGCCAGAGTTGAATGAAGGCAGGTGATATCTGCAGTTATGAACCTCAAGGGCCTGGAATGCTGAACAAGAAGAAGATAGGGCTGACCAGTTCCCTTCCTCATCACATTTCTTTCTTAGACACTTCCCAGAAAAATCTAAAAATTGTATATTTAAATGTCACTAGTATTCTTGTTTCCTCACATTCTATCTAATATGGATCTGCCAAATTGCAGGGAACTTACGAGTATGGCAAGCAGCTACTGCAGGCTGCACTGGTCTTGCGTCGCTCTCTGCGTTATGACATTGAACCAAACTATGACAGAGCACAGAGACTAGAGGAGGCATGGAGGAGATTTTCTAAAGGGACAAGTGAGAGAGCTAACCGCCTGACTGTGCTGGCTTTATTTCTCAATGAATCAGACAAGGTAGGGCTTTGACACATACAGTGATTGTTTGTTTGTTGTTTGTTTTAGTATCCAGAAGCCATGAGTTGTTAACCCTTAGGCTCGGTATTATGGATATCGCAACCTTTCGGCCTTGATTCCATTGTAAATACTGTAAATCTGGGAGAAAATGAGGCTTTCCTGCCTACTCCGAGATTGAACCCGGACCACAAGGAGTTCGTCACCCGGTCTCCGCGCAATCCGGTTTTAGCCAACTACGCTAGAGAGCCGTGCATACAGTGATTGAAACAGTCATGTTGACAAAGACAGGCAAGTAACAGATGAGTATAGCAAATTTTAATTGGACGGTTAGTAAATACAAAATTACAGTATCAGTGGAAGGCAAGTAACAGATGAGTATAGCAAATTTTAATTGGACGGTTAGTAAATACAAAGTTACAGTATCAGTGGAAGGCAAGTAACAGATGGGTATAGCAAATTTTAATTGGACGGTTAATAAATACAAAGTTACAGTATCAGTGGAAGGCAAGTAACAGATGGGTATAAAAAGTAAAAAAAAAATTAAAGATCCTTTTCCACGCCTTTAGGCGTATCGGGCATATGGGAAGAGCGCCCATATTTTTGCAAACCATCAGCACTCTGTGGGTAATGTGGTCAGCATTACCCCGGCTGTCTTTACTTTCCCAGGACAGCCCATCCTGGTACCCATTTGAGGCTGGGTCGACCTGCGACGTCCCATACCACGATAAAAATCCACGCAGCCCGCAGTGGGTTTCGATCGCGGTACGTTGGATTACGAGTCGGACTCGCAACGCCTTAGCCACTGACGCCGCACAGATGGGTATAGCAAATTTTAATTGGACGGTTAATAAATACAAAATTACAGTATCAGTGGAAGGCAAGTAACAGATGGGTATAGCAAATTTTAATTGGACGGTTAATAAATACAAAGTTACAGTATCAGTGGAAGGCAAGTAACAGATGGGTATATAAATGTTAACTTGGTTACAGTGTTACAGAGTCGGGCAAGTAGCAAATTCATCATCATCATAAACCACTTCTTCCATTAAGCCTCATGGGGAGGAATAATTTGCAATCCAGTGCACATTGGCTACCAGTGGCTATTGCCATGCTGTGAAGGCATAGAGTGTCTTTAATGTTGTCTGTCCATATTTTTGCGGTCATCCTCTTGCTGTTGTAGCTGATCATCTGAGATGTAGTGCTTGTGATGGTATTTAATCTTGCTGCTTTCTAACAAGGTTGCCAAACCACTTGATCTGCTGTTTCTCGATGAATCTAGTATAAGATGTCATTCCCACAGTTTGTCTGGTAGTATCATTATTCACTCGATCTCGGATGGTTAGGTTGGCTGCTTTTCTGAGGCATCTCATCTCGCAGGTGGTGATTTTGAGTATATAGGCTTAACATATTGTTCATGCTTGGCGCTGGTAGCTTTATGTTGGAATGAATATGCTGTTTATAATCTGTCTCTTTGCACTCATAGTTATGTTTGGATGTCCTAATAATGGTGACAGTCGGTATATAAGTGCACTTGCTTTCTGACATCTAGTTTCTATTTCTCAGTCAATTCTACCATCTTCTGTGATCATACTTCCTAGATACTTAAACTCCCTAACCTGATCGGAAAAGACAAAGATGGAAGGTGCAGTTTGTGGAAGGTGAGGCAGGGGTTGACCACCACAAAGATGGATACAAGACATTGAAGATGCATTAGCATTTAAAGCACATGGAGCTGGAGAGCTGGCTAGGAAAAGGGATACTTTCAGAGAGCGGCGTTCAGTAAAGGACTTGCTGATTGATGAAACTGATTCAGACCAGAACTATTCAGCAGTATGTTTAGTGGGCCAGGGTTTCTACAAACTTGCATTGTTTCGGTTTTGTTTGCATTGATCTTCATCTTGTATTTACATGCTGAGTTTAACATGTTAATGCGTTCTGCTGAAGATGGTGACGGTGTCCCGAGTGCTGTGATGTCGATTCTTAATTCAACATTCAGCATTTAACATTCAGCTCAATACAGCAGTAGTGAGCTAAATATTTCAAGTTTAGCACTAATTTTAATTTCCTTTGTGAGGTTTTTAACACAGTAAACTTAAAAATGTGTTGCTTCAAATAACCAGGTTACAAATGTAATATCAGTACAATTAAAGGTTGACTTCTCTGTGAGTCCATTTTTGGAGTAAGGGGGTCCTCAAAGCATATAGGAACTTTGATTCTTATACAAGACATATGTGTACAGACATGATGACCAACAGCACGCGGCAGGAACTGTAAGGACAAGCTCAGAGCATTATAGATAATTTGCAGTCACCTTGTGTATATGAGGGTGACAAGATCATCCTTTCATTGTCCTGTTGTACTATTGTGTGTCACACAGGGGCTCACAGTCTATAAATCCATTCCATTTTATCCTTACATTGCCTTTCATGCCATTGATTGAATCCATTCCAGCTCCTTTGGCCTCTGTGGTCAGTGTTCATTTTAGGGTTTCTTTTTGGTGCCTTCGCTTCCTCAATCCATGTGTTTCCCATTTTAGTGCCTATTTAGTAATTCTCTGCTGATTTCTTCTCATGATGTGTCCATACCATGTCTTAAAACTGTTACCAGCAGTTGCCCAGACATTTCTAAATTTCTTCAACAATCTTTATTTTTAAATAAGTAAAGGACCCTGCTTTTAGGGCAAACACATATATTTTTATAGAATCAGCCAAGATATTTGTGGTTCATCACACTGACAGCTTTATTCCCGGGAAAGCTACTACTTACTCAAGGCTGGGTCGACCTGGGAGCCAAGGTATTTTTGAAAAAGTCCGGCTACTAGGGAAAACCCAAGACTATTGCACCTAGCTAGCTGCTCAGCCACTATTAAAAAAAGCTCACGCTCTAGGTGTATTAAAGAGCGCCCTATTTTTGACAAAGCGGCACTACCCCATTATTTTAAATTATCCTTACTTTTCAAATGCAAACTTTCTGTCCATACTTTATTAAAACTGTTTTCTACTATGAAAAAAAGCTACTAGAATTAAAAAATTAGCTGCTTTTCAAATATAAAAGCATATTTTGTTTGGGCTATTAAAAGCTGCTGATGCCTTGCCTGTTTATCTTTTAAAAGTAATTAACATAATTACATTGTGTTAACTGACAAGTAATTGGCATGTTGCTGTCTGTTCTTCAGCTGGTGAATACCATGGATAACTTCATTTCTGCTTGTGCTAAAGCTCTGGCAGGGGAAGAGAATATCAATGATGTTATTCGCAATCTGACTTTACCCAAAGCTCGCATTGGTGAAGATTTTGACAACACATGCCAGATGGGACAGGCACTGGTTGAACGACTGGCATTGCCAATTATTTTATATGAGGGGTAAGATTTTTGTTCCAGATTCAGTTTGATCTGAGGTGTGCATAGTAATACAAAATCTGAATTACTGTTTTTTTTAAATAGGTTTATTAAATTAGTTTACATGGTTGTCTCAATAAAAAGTTGGTCAAGTTGTTGGCCTCATGATCTAAAGGGTGTGGATTAATTGTGTGGACACCCCATGTGGGTTCCTGGGCCCTTCTTCTTCTTCTTCTTCTTTCGTTTGCCTGAAATAAGTTGTCTGTACAAGTCCAGGGCCCATTGTTGGGTGAATTGGGAACAGACCCACTGATTCCCTTACAAGCGTGTCATAAGAGTTGAGTAATTAGGGGTCTCCTTTGAAGTCGAAGTACATCTACCCATGAGGCAGGGAACCAACAATCTGTATAGTAAAAGCCAAATCTGTAAAATGGGAGAGTACATAAATCCCTAGCTCTGGAACACGACTAAAGTCTAGAAGTCACAGAACACCCAGAACATTCCACCAGAGTTTACAGCAGGATAATGTTAAGAAGAAGAAGATTTCCTTGCCTGTGTTTCAGAAGGTTGTGGGTTTGGGTCCTGACAGAGCTGGACTTTTTTTCTTCAGAAATGACCTTGGCTCCCAGGTGGACTAGCAGCTACAGTCCTGGGAAGTAAAGGTGGATGGCATGATGCTGACCACATCTCCCACCAAGTGCAGATTGTTCTATAAAATATAGGTCTAGCCTAACATGCCCATTATGCTTGAAGGTGTTGAAAGGGTCCTTTACTTTACTATGTCTTTCTTTATTGTCTTTTATTGAGCTCCTAGCCATATTGTGTTAACCCATATGTTTTCGAAGGTCCCATCTTGGCAGGGGAAACAATGAATAAACCCACTTCCTGCCCTAACAAGCATGTTGTAAAAGGCGACATATTTTGAGCTGATGAAATTCAGATATGTTAGCAGGACAGTGCATTTATTACAGCCAAGCTGTAAGCTGCAACACATTGTACCAATGAACATTTTAAGAATGAGTGCTGTAAAAGAAGAAGAAAGAAGAAGTAATTTTGTTTATTTAGATATTGGATTCAGCTTGATGGCAGTCATACCTAGAACATCTATGATTGACCAGACTGAGGAACTGCATGTGCTGTATTGCACCTCTTCAGTTTTTGAAACAGTGAAATTGTCTCCAAATTGTAAAGTTTAGTTTTGTTGTTTTGATGAAATGAACCCATTGTTGCATTCACGTCACAGTAAAAAGAAAAGTCTGCCACATCTGCAAGAGAATAAGAGCTAGGAAGAAGCATGATTACCCATTTAATAATGATAATGAGCATATCTTGCTAATGTTTTATAATAAGCATCAAAGATTAGCACACCTGTTACATATTAAAGCAATGATTTTATATTATTATTAACTGTATGGCTCTGAAGAGTTTTTCTGGTAGTACTTTGATCCTAAATCAAGTGTTTTCTTTACAATGATTAACTGCAATGGATCTCCCTGCAAGTGCTTTGTTTCTAGCTCTTGCTGTAATCTCTCTCAGTCTGCTTTTTGTCCATCTCTGGAATCTATGCTCCTACCTGTAATGCTGTTTACTTCTTGCTCACCTACC